GTAGATTATATAAATACACACGCGTGTGTAAACAAGATGTTATGAATACATTCCCCTTAAAGCTAATTTATTACATGGAGCCATTATTAATAAATGAAAGCACATTTAAGAAATGAATAAATAAAAGCTAGAATCTCTCTTTTAAGATAATTACAATGAACTCATTACACGAGAATAATTTTAGTCTTTTATTCAGTGTTATACATTCACCACACACTCTTTAACTAGCCAGTGCCAATTACAGACCCAGTATGTTACCAGTACATTCCTCATTGCCAAAACTGCCAAAATACCCCCAAATTTGTCTCAAAACTAGTAGAATAAAAATAGGCTATAAATGGTCTGACAAGAAGCTGTTGTCTCTTGATAGCTCTAGATTTCTTAATTATAGAAATCTTTTTTTTTTTTTAATCTAATAGATGTTAGTCAATTATTGTAATGTTTTTTTATCTTTAGTGATCAGACAGACATAACTGGTTAAACTTAGAGTATCCCAGCACAGACTCCATACTGTAATACTGCAGACCTGTTAATCTCAGATTTTACAAATTTCCATTGATTTCCTAAATTATTCTTGTTGGGGTTTTTTTTTTTTTGATATACCACATCAGTGACATTTCACATTCAGGACTTTTTTTTTCATGATGTGAACATTTATATTGCCAAGGAGTATAAGGAGACTGCTTTGGGATTTTGTATGAAATGCGTGACATTGTCAAAACACTGGAATGACTTCTGATAATTGAAACCTGGTTTGTTTGCCTGTCTTTCTTTTAAATCTGAGCACAAACTAACTATTTCAAATGCATACAGAATCTTGTGAAAAGCTGTGGATTCTTGGATGGTTGTTGTATATTTCCACAGTTTGTTTTGAACAGTTCTAGCATGTTCCATAGGTATGCCTTTTTAATAACCACCTGCCATATACTACGAGCCCTGTTGCAGCACAGCCTCCATTTTGTCAAACTATGCAATGGTTAAAGTTGTGCCTGTAAAGCAGCATCATGTCTTCAAAGGGGTTTCTCTTTATGAATGAGTCTGAAATGGTGTCGAGGCAATTATCTTTTCATTTAAGTGCCTTAAACTTGTTTTGTTTTGTTTTTTACCCTGAAGATGGAAGAGAAGGAAAAAAAATGTTTTGTTGATGTTTATATTGGTGTGTGGAGCTTCGTAGAGCTACACTACAAGTCCCTCAAACAAAAGAACCACGAGTATTGTTATTATGGAACGCCAAAGTGTTCAACATTAAATAAGGAAGTAAATTAGGAAATAAGTCATTATAAATGCAGAGTAAAATATATAAGTAATTAATAATTATACCCTGACATAATATTTGAAATAGTGTTCTGTATTATTATCATTAATTACTTAGTATGTTGATTGACTTAGAAATCTACTGACTTCTTCAACCGTTGACTCCACTCCACTGAAGTTGGGTCATGGTAGCAGCAGTCTGAGCAGGCGATACCTGATATCCTTTCCCCAGCAGAGCTTACCAATTTCTGCTTGGTATCACCAAGGTGTTTCAAGGCTTAATAAGATAAATAATCCCTGGTCTGCCCAAGGGTCTTCTCTCAAATGGGTGTACACAGAAAACCTCCAAAGTGAAGCTCCCAGTAGATGTCCAATCCACCCCAACTGCTTCATCTCAACATCTCTGAGTTCCTTCCAGATATCCATGCTCATCATCCTGTCTCTAAGGCTGAGCTCAGCCAACCATACTTTGCTTGCAAATACAGATCTAATACAGATCTGGTTGTTAACTACCAAAGTAACCTCTATAAGTGCAATTGGCGAGCCTTTCTTCAAGAGTGCCACCAGGTCCTTAGGTTGCTACTGCAACAGGCACCAATGACCTTTTGAGCAGAGCTAATGCCAGCCACCTTTGCAGTAGAGGCTTTGAATATGAACAAGAATGAGCTGCTGAGCCACTGATTCTTATAGTGGGGAACCTGGATGATCAGGGTAATATATACAGTGAATATATTCACACGATTTCTGTTAGGAAAATAATCAAAGATGGCTGTCATGCTAACCTTCTAGAGTGGTTTGTTTTTTTTCGCTACCAAAAAAACATGGCCACTAATCCCAGTCCTGCATTTACCTGAAAGTGTCGTTGTGCAGTGCTACAGGTTCACAAAGCCAGTAATGATGCTGTAGACTAATAGTGTTATTATATTTGACTTATTTATATACCTATGATTAATATTCAAATACTATATATATTTATGTAGTACCGAACACTTTGGAACGCCATATTTTTAGCTCTTCATTTTAGTTTTTTCAAATGACATTTTACACTGAAGGCAGTGTTTCTTAGGTTTCTAGGTGACAACTTTGAATGTAGGTCTCAGTAATAACTGCCAAATTGTGTGCCACATGAAGGCAATACATTTCTACAAAGACACAACCTGCAAAACAAAGCCACCTTTCTTAGTGGTGTTTAACCTCTTTTGTTTTAAGCAATATATGGATCGTTACCCAAAGGTTATATGTAAAATGCAAATAAGTACACGGTTAGAGTTCAGTCTTGTATGTGGAAAGAACATTGTAGAGAATATGACTCAAGATTTACTCAACAGCAGCTCAGCTATCTTACAGTGTTGCCATCCAATGAGGATGCTAACTATGAAATCCAAGTTCTTGAACAAGCTGAGAAGTGAACCTTGAGTTAATGTGTTGGTTTGTTTGGTTTTTTTGTCATTGATGAAGCTTCAGTGGACTGTAGATTGTTTCTTATGGTGACACAGGTCCAGGGACTGATTCGAAACAGTACAACACCCACATACCTGTAACATGGATCTGTGGCTAAACGTAGAACAGATAAATTAAATAACCCTAAAATGTGACTGTAAGAAAAGATATAAACATTACACTATGTGGTGGCAGTTACTTAAAGCTGTCACTTAACTCGTTTCTCATAATGACTCTCTGAGCTGTAAATTGTTATGGCATGTTATGGATAAACCACTAATGAAAAACTATGGTATGTTAGCTCAATTTAGGCCTTGTCTTCTAATTGTCATTCCTGTGGTTCATACAAACAATGTTCTCTGCTGATGTTGCTACTGTTCTTATTGTTACAGTTTATAAGAGATGAATGTAGCAGTAGTTACTGTACCCACTGGTTTCAGATTAGTGAGCTCAAACTCGATGGTACTCAATGTGGAAACTATCTTGTGAGAAATATTAAAAGTTTTATTTGAATGTTGGTGGAGTTTGCCTTTATTTCGCTCTCGATACTAATTATACTTATTATAATTTATTATAATATAATAAACTCACATAAACAAACATCTTTGGTTTGTGTTCAGTTTTACTCGTTTACTTAATTTACAAAGATTCAGTCATTTAGAATGCTACACTTTCAATTAAAAGGGATAATGCAACACAGTAAGTTTAGTTAAACACATGTATATTTTTTATAAGATAAAGTCCTCTTCTGTATATACAAAAATTATTGCATTGCTTTTGATATTTTCTTTTTTTTTTTATTCTGCCAACTGCTTTTTGAAGCTTTTGCATTATATTATGGTGTGTTGTAAACCATTAACTAAAGTTGAGTTGAATGACCAGACGACCTGCTGAGTTCAAAATGAGCATCAGAATGGGGAAGAGAGGCAATTTAAGTGATTTTGAACATGGCATGGTTGTTGGTGCTAGAAGACCTGGTCTGAGTATTTTAGAAAGTGATAATCTGCTGGAATTTTCCCACACAACCATGTCTGGGGTTTACAGAAAATGGTCTGAAAAAGAGAAAATGACCAGTGAAAAGCAGTAAAATTGCCTTTTTGATGCCAGAGGTCAGAGGAGAATAGCCAGACTGCTCTGAGCTGATAGGAAGGCAAAAGTAACCCAAATATAGCTTGTTACACCAGGTGCCACTGTTGTCAGCTAAAAACGGGAAGCTGCAGCTACAATGCAGACAGACTTACCAAAGTTACATAATAGAAAAATAGAAAAACATTCCCTGATCTAATCTTGTGTTTAGCCGTGACACTCGGGTGGTAGGGTCACAATTTGGTGTACAAAACATAAAAGCATGGATCCACCCTTCCTTGTATCAACAGTTCAGGCTGGTGTAATGATGTGGGGGATATTTTCTTGGCACACGTTGGGTCTCTTAGTACCAACTGAGCATTGTTTAAATACTACAGTCTACCTAAGTATTGTTTCTGACCATGTCCATCCCTTTAGGATCTTTTGATGTCTGCCTCAAGTAAGATAACGCACCATGTGACCAAGCTTAAATCAGCTCAAACTGGTTTCTTGAACATGGCAATGAGTTCACTGTACTCAGTGGCCTCCACAGTCACAAAGAGGGACTCATCCAGGCTGGAGAAACTGATCAGGAGGGCTAGCTCTGTGGTCGGCATGAAGCTGGACACTCTGGTGACAGTGGCAGAGAAAAGGACATTAAAGAAACTGCTGGACATTATGAACAATGCTGGGCATCCTCTGCACACGGCCATAAACAATCAGAAGAGTCTGTTCAGTGACAGGTTGCTTCTCCCCAAGACAAGAACTAACAGACTTAAAAACTCCTTTGTCCCACACGCCATCAGACTGTTTAACTCCTCTCTGGAGGGAGAGGGAGGGGAAACAGGAGGACAAAGGAGGGGGGAACAACTAAGCTGTAGTGCCTCTTCACCTCACTGTACAATACCTTGTGCAATACTTTTTGTAAATAGTCAACAGTGCAATAGACTCAATACTTGAAATGTGCAATTCACTTGTATTTTTATTTTTTATTCCTATTTATTCTATTTATCCCCTTTGTATATTTTATTTATATTTGTCTCTGTATTTATATATGTGTGTGTGTGTGTGTGTATATATATATATATATATATATATATATATATATATATATATATATATATATATATATATATATATAACAGTTCTGTAACTAACTTCGGTCGTTGCTGTGCTTTTTTTGGAAGTCGAATTTCCCAGAGGAACCCACCCGAGGGATTAATAAAGTTCTATCTTATCTTATCTTATCTTATCTTATCTTATCTTATCTTATCTTATCTTATCTTAAGATCTCAGTCCTGTAGCCCTCCTTTGGGGATGTGGTGGACATGCAATTGAGAAATCAGCAGCAGTTGTGTATCTATATCATGTCTATACTGTCCATATTGTCATGTAAAATTCATTTGTCTCCTGATGAAGAAAGCTCATCAGTCCATTTCTTGTGGGCTTGGCAAAGAATTCCATCACCAATCATACCATGAAAGATTTCTACAAAATAAGAAAAAAAAGACATGCTAATGAGCATCCTTTATGTAACAGAGAGAGTGTAACTTGTAATGTCAATTGATTATTGAAAGAAAAGTTTTACTATATATTATTTTACCTGCAGTTCCCAATCCTGTGGGAAGAGGCATCCTCAGAGAGCCAGCAGAGTGCTTCAGACGCTCCTTAAGGGATTTCTGCACCAGCTCCAGAGTGCAGTCCTGGTGCCACACAGGAAGCTCCAGACTCAGCATGCATTGGATAATACGATTCTTCTCATCTACTGTGAGAAGTCCCTTTTGGACGGCCACATATACCATGAAGGACATATCGATGTTGACTGCCTCTCCGTGAAGCAGTGCTGGCAATATTCTCTGTGCAAAACATGGAGGTTACACTTAATTGTGTGCAGATAATCTCCAAAAAGTAACTGCTAATAAAATAATATCTAAATACGTTTACTCTGTAACAGTAATTCACATTTAAAGTGAACCTATTATGCTTTTCTTTTTCATCACTTGGGTTGCTATATGCAAACCCTTAAATAAGGATTATTTTGAGCTGTGAGTTTTACAAAGATACTATAAAAGACTCCAAGAGTAGAAGATATTGAGCTGGAAATTAACATAGTAGGTCCCCTTTAATGAGTGAATTCATACTCTCAAATATTGCTACAATATTGTTATAGAATATTGTTACAATAGAAAATACTACTTGACCATTTCTAACTCTGGGCTGATGAGGTGACCAAAATCCACCAGCCTGTCCAGATCATCCTCCCACAAGTTAGGAGCCAGTTCCTCAAGCATTGTTTCTATAGCGATGCGGATGATGGCTGTGGCGCTGTCTTCCTGTTCAGGCCTGGTCTTGCAAACCTGCAGCTTGGTATGCAGCAGTTTCCTGCCCTCAGTCTCCATCAACTCAAACAGGCCCCGGTGCTTCATCAGAGCCATCTAAAGTGTATCAGTAGAATAACACTTAATAGCTGGCAATAAGTGAAAGAGAAGACACACACTCTATTCTAAACTGGAATATCTAATAATAAACAATCACATGCATTGCATTGTTGTACTGTGGGAAAATGAATTTCAAAGATTCCCTCCAGACATGTTTAATAGATATAAAAGTATTTAATAGAAATACCAGATAAAACTTTCTTAAACAGTAAGCTGAAATCTTCTACATCACTGAAAGTATCAGAATGTGTGAACCTGTTCACATAATTTTCTTTCTTTTTTTTTTTAATCCTTTAACTCAGTTTTAAAATAAGCATGAAGAAATCTTACCCCTGCGGAGCTGCACATACCATATCTGTCTGCACAGCATTGTGTGAGCTCCTTTGAGTGAAGGAACAACAAACAAAGCACATTTTTTGTGGGTGGGGGTGTCTTTAGTTTTTTCTTTTGCATGCTTCACAGCACATGGTGATAGACAGACACTAGAAACTATGAGGACTTTCAGGTTTAAAAGGAGCTGGCTTTCAGTAGCATGGGCACTTAAAGTTGTATATCTTATTAGGGATATTTTAAAATGTAGCAGCTTAAATCTAGGTTTTTGTGAGTAAGTAAATGCAGTAAACACTTCTGTGGTTAAATTGTGGTTACAAGAGGGTTAGTTGCAATGAGCCAAATGTCAAAACATCCAACTATGACGCTTGAATCAGCTTTGTGTATTCTGTGTCCAGATGAGAAAATGGTAGTATGCATTATTGATGAGCAAAAAAAAAAATTCTGAATAATATCAAAACACAAAATCAGTGGGAAAAATGAATTTAGCATTATCTCTTAAGAACAAGCACCATTTTCATTTCCAATATTGACAACAAACTTGCAGCAAGGGAAGTATCAGCTGTCTTATTGATACATTTCAGTGCTTTTTGGAATACTGTAGAAGTTGTACACAACTATTATCTTGTTTGCAAATAGTATGGATCTTGTTCTCGCCAGTTATTACTTCCTGCCCACAAAATATTAAAAGTCTGACACCAAAGAAGATCAACAACAATGGCTTGAACAATAAGATCATTCTACTGTGAGCTGCAAGCAAATTACATACATTAAGGAGTTAATGGGCTGATACATGCAAGACCATCAGGAAACTCATTCTCTTGATCAGCCATCATGCAGCGACGAGCACCTTTAACATCTCTGCCATCCCATTAGAGATCTGACGTGGTGGGAGAGTTTGGAAGAATGAGCAGTCTAAGAAGGCTGCCACTGGTGGGACATAACTTCCCAGCTTGTTTTTCCCGCCAGCAAAGTTGACTCCTGTTTTTGCCCCTACACTTGCGTCGATATAAGAAAGTAGAGTGGTCGGCACTCGAATATACGGGGTCCTTCGGCGATAGAGAGATGCCGCCAAGCCCACCACATCCAGACAAACTCCACCGCCGATGGCTACGATTGGCTCGGAGCGTCTGTCGATACCAAACTCATGAACTTCCTCCAGGATCTTGGTCACTAACTCCATACACTTGTTCTCTTCAGTGGTGGGCAGAGGGAGAATCTTGTAAACGACCCCTCTGGCTTTAAAGTACTGAGAAACCTGGGAGCCATACAGCTTATTGACATTTTCATCAATGACAACAAATCGCTTCGGTGGTTTGCAGTTACTTAAGGTGTGTTTAAGTTCTTCTTCTCCTAAGTGACCCCAGAGCAGTGTGTCATTCGTGGGATCCAGTATGTTTTTGCACTGAATAACTCTGTAGGTGAACACAACAGGGCTGACCACTGTCCAGGAAACCCCATGTTCTGACTTGTTCTCATAGCTAGAGATAATTTCACAATAAAGTTAAAAAGAAAAAAGAAAAAGAAGGGAAAAACATTTAATTGCCTCCATTCAAAACACCTGCTAGAATACTAACCTATACCTTCCATTCAATACAAATTTACACTTCTACCTCACTTTATGTGGGTAAATACTGTTATTTACTTGACTTATTTTGTTTGAAAGCTGAAGTTACATTTTGTATAAAAGCAAATGTGTAACATTACATATTAACACAATAATAACCACCATTCTGCAAATGAATGCATTTATTTTTAAATCATTTAAAAGTCAGAGGTTTTGACTTCTAGTTGCCCTACGAAGCAGTATATTACTTGAAGTACTATCCCAGTGACATGTGGGAATAATGCACAAAGAAGTATTTCAATGTGCAACTACAACTGCAAAATATTTACATTTTACAAAGTGCCCCAACTCCTTTAGAATTGAAATTGTGCCACAAAAACCAGTGGATTTAGATAATGCAGGACTAAAAAGTCTTTGGAAAATAGCTTTGTAAATGTTTTATGATGAAGGAAATGCATGCAAGACCTAAATAGATTAGACCTCAAACATACACCCACTGATGAGTAAGACCCAATGTAAATGTGGCTTTTTTTTCTGAAAAAACTCCAAGTACATTTTGTTTTGCAAATGTTTTTGTCTATGTTAACAAGAACTTTCAATGCAGCACTTTGACAAGTCAGTATTGTTACATTTACTCTTAAAAACTAACTCAATAAACAACTATCAAAGCTGCTTTTTCTAGAGCTGCTTTTGTTATTGCCTATAATAATTACTCTTTAACCTACGTCATTAGCGCTAAAATCTGGTTTGACCAGCTTTAACTCTAAGTGATAACACAATCCAGCTACTCTTTCATTCTGACTAATAAGGTGCTGCATTCTGGTTGGTGTAATGAGGTGTTATAACATTGTTATAAATGAGACTCATCTACTTCAGTGTAGTCTGAACGGCAAAAGAAAAACAAAGAACTATTGCATGTGAAAACAGAAAAACCTCTTTAAAATTTTGAACTTGTAGTGTTGAGAAAATATCATTTCAGGGCCTTAAAAGGTCTTCTTCCACCACTGCTGTACATATTTTGCATGGGTGACTGTAGCTTAAAATAGAAAGGCATTTCACTGCTCCATGGAGAATGCTAATCAGCATATAGTCAAAGAGTATAAATAGTGAACATACAGCATGACCGATGAGCACGAATATCTTTTAAATCATTGTTTGTTTTTAAAGATCTGAGATTTTTCAGCAAAGTTTTTTAGTTTGTAAAACAACCTGATTAAATGTATTTGCCGATTACGGTTGGCAACTTGCCTGCTCCTATTGCACGTCACTGAGATATCAATAATTTTCCATTCTATACTTACATTTTAGCATCTGATAACTTTCCCTCTGCCAGCTGGAACTGGTCACTTTGTCGAATCCATGTTCCCTTCACTTGAACAAGATTAAACTTAGTTTGTTGTGAACAACTGGAGTTGTTATTTGAAATCATGTTCCCAGAGTCCCAGGCTGCCAAGTGTCTTCAGCCTACTATGTCTTTATTCATGCTAATGGCATACAGGGCGTCAGTGTGGAGGACATTACTCAACATAGCGTAAACCCCCACCCTACACTCCTGCATGCTGGACTGAGTCTCATGTTGGCATTTGGTTACTCGACTGGGTGGGGTGAGCATGGGATCAACTGAGGGCTATTTTCTTATTTTATTAATCTAACCAACTCTATTTTGGGGTGAGAAAGCAGTTAACAACTTGATGAATGTGATGACTCTAAAGAATGTTTGTGTCCACAAGTCTGCAAGTCAAAAATTCAAGGCAAGAGAGATTTTTTTAGCATGCCTCTTACATTTACATACCCAGCTTTGTAAGTTCTCCTGTATCCTGGCAGGCACCACAGCAGTTACAGTCCATTTGTTTGAAACTGCCCCCCTCCTCTGGATGGCATGATATATTTGTGCATGGGAAAATCGTGGCTCAGACATGTACCTTTTACAGAATAATTACCTCATGGAAATGACAATGGAGACAGGCAAACGTAAATGCTCCAAAGCAACCTGTTGGAGATAAAAAAGTAAAATACAACAAAGGAAATTCAAAGAAGGTATGTAAATTGCACGGTAGGAAATTACACCCTTTGAAAGTTGTTTCTACTGCATATCTCACCACAAACCATTGCCCCAATTACAATTTTAATAATTAACAACAGTTTCAAGCTGTTTAATTACAGCAACCATTCTTCCTTTAGTGCTACATAATCACTCTAGTGTCAGGCAGGTATGAATCATCAGAAAAAAAAAGACTGCTGCTGCTGAACTTGTCAGAACACGGGGAAAAGCTGGATCCACCCCTTTTTCTGCCACCCTAACTTTTCTCCAAACTGGTGCCAGATTACATATCCCACTCACCAACTTGCCCAACGTCTTTCCTTAAAGACCGCCCATCACAGGTGTGTTTCCTTTCGAGAAAGGATATAAAGAACAGAGGAAAGGTTTTTAATGCACAAACAATACAACTGTAAAACCATTAATGGGTTTTACAACCTACTAGCGAAGTTATTCTATCAGGCAGTTTGCAATATTCAAAGCGCCTGAGAGGTGCCATTTAAAAGTATATAATAGAGAACAATTGCTCAGTAGGACTCAACAAGCAACAGTTCATTTGCACTCTGTAATTTGGCTCAACTTTGCTGGGTTGAGTAGGTGATTAGGGACACTCTATATACTGTGCAGAGTCAAAACACTCCTTTTGCCACATTATTCAGTCATTCATTTAATGTCCTCACTTTATTGTTGGCATTTGTAAAAAAACAAAAATGCAAAGCACTGTTTCAGCAATGGCACAAGGGGCTCTATAACAAAGTTGCATGCTGTTCTTGTTAAAGGTGATTACCGGTATGTGCTGGTATTAATTCAACCAGTGGTTTAATCTGTAGTATCTTCATCTGCAGGCCCTCTAAGTTTGAGTACATCATAATGCACACACACACACACACACCTTGTGACAACACTCCTGATCCATCAGTAACTTCTAATCAAGAAGCAGCGCAACAAATCTGTGACGGCATACGGGACCAAACATCAGTTCAGTTACAGTATTACATCAACGGAAGGTCAACAAAAGCCACTTATCTAACCCCTTCATTTATTAAGTAAAGAAAGACAAGACTTGCATAAAATGCTCTTTTATGCAACATTTATTATCTTGCCTCAACCAGTGTTTCTAACACTACATTGGTTTTTGTAAACAACACTTGCTTATAGTATGCACTTGCATATATTTAAAACTGACATATCACAATACTACAGTTAAAAAAAGTGTCCTTACTGCTGAGAAGTTGAGCTGTCAGCATTTGAAAAAAAAATGCACCTAGCTTTAATTTTTGCATGTGAAACAATAAATTCTTCCCAAAATAACAATCAGAAAATCAAATCAAAGACACATACATTATTCACATATATCATGAGGAATTTATTATTCATAGAGATGCATTGGTTTACAATAATGGTAAATCTATAGTATCTACTCTTACAAGCTCAGTTAGAGCAAATTTCAATGTTGATGGAAGAGGTGAAAAAGACCAACAAGTATAAAGACGCTATGTGTTCCTTTGATCATTTGATTAAATACAAATATATCAGATCATGTTGGCAGTGAACATTTTCATTTTTAAAGCAACATTTTTTTTTTTTTATTCCTCTACAAATTTTTATATACTATGACTACTAAAATAAAATCAGGTAGTGTGGCCCCAGCATAGCATTAAGTAGCTATAAAGAGTAGGACTATCATTGTGAAGTGCTTACTTCAGCCCCTTTAATTCAGCCCCTTTCAGACATGAACCATTAACCTGACGGCATTTTAACGTGTCAGCTTCATCTTCGTGTGAACATCTTGGTCACTTTTCTGTTGTAGTCACCACTGCAGTCTAGAGGTTGGACTAAATAACATTCACGCATTACTTTGAACACAGTGGAAGGTTGAATTCATTCAGTCATATTAAGGTTTAAGAATGCACAATTAATCAAGATAGTAGTGGTAATGCAACTAGAAACCATTTACCAACTGTTATTAAACAACTAAAATTTAAAAAAGGAATGCACTATTAACTCCCAGACAGAAAAAACCCCCAAAAAAACGTGAGCGACATGGCGGGATTAGATGGTACTGTGCAAACAAGAGAAACATGCAAAGCCAAAGATGACTACAAGGTCTGCCCAGCAAAACTAGCATGTCATAAGTCTGCCGCAAACATGCACAGTCATTGTGGTTGGGGGTGACTGTTGAAAAGTAGTCAAATAGTTTCTAAAGAAAACAGAGTGATATTTTTGCTGAAAATGGCCCTATGCAATAAACAAGGATATTTTTATATGCCTAGATTTTTTCCTAATGAAAAATGAGACACACACACACACACACACACACACACACACACACACACACACACACACACACACACACACACACACACACACACACACACACACACACACACACACACACACACACACTGCTTGTAATGAGTAAAGAGAACTAAACATTCCATAGGTGTGTTTGCACTTCACTTGAGCCAATAATAATACTGCCACCAACGCATATTGAATATTAGCGAATATTGCACACACACGTTCTCTCAAGTCACCGTCAGGTACTGTATGTGTGAAGCCATGAAGATGATTAACACATGAAAGTAATCCAGATATGAATGACTGATAAAGCCAGCATTTTTTTTTTTATCCCATGTCTGAAAGGGGCTCATCACTTTTCCCTTGCCTTTGGCTCCTCTGCTCATTATGGTCCTTTTCTGTACAGATATATATATGTATTTTTTTTTTTTTTAAAAAGAAGAAGATTAAGAAGAAGAATCACAGACAGACAGTTTCACAAATGTTGTTTGTGATCTCACTTAACTATACAAAAAACATTTGAGAGCTAGATTAAAAACAAAAAAATAAAGAGACGCTGATAAATACAGAAAGAAAAAAATAACGGAAAAAGATTCCAAAGAACAGAGTGTTTGGTTACGTAGATGAAGCTGAAGTTGTTGTTTTTTTTGTTTGTTTTTTTAATACAAAGTCACACTGGCAGCCTTGCCATTGAGAAGTTGGACTTCAAAGTCAGAGGGAAGGCACACGGTCGAGATGAAGGCTGGGCCTCTCCGGGCTACCGTTGTTATCGTCTCTGTTCATCTCTGGGCTGTGGCCGTGCTCGTCTGTGCTCTCCGGAGATTCATAGGGATAATTTTCGCTTATCTCCTCATCCTCCTGCTCTTCTTTAATGCTGGTTTGGTAAACACGGAGAACGAAAATGTGATCAGACTTTAAATAGTAGGTAATTCAAATGCACTGAAGAGTTCAGTGAATAGGGACACTTACAAAGCCTGTGGTGGGGACTGTGTTGCACTGCTGTCGCTTTGGTATCCAGATCCATTAGCGAGAGCTCCATTCATCTGCTCCTGGAGAACATGAGGCAAGGAGTGCAATGGGATGCTGCCCATAGAAGCTGGGTTGTATAGAGAGTTGCATTCTAGACCACCACCCTGAAAAAAGAAATACTGTCAGAGGTGTATTTATAGCACTGCTTAAACACATATACTATGTTAGGATAATTCATTCATCAAACATCTTTTTATTTGTAATACAATACACACAAACAACAAGATAATTAACATTTCTCTGTTACCTGAAGGGCAGATCCAGCTAGGCCTGTACGGTTCTGGGCGTTCTTCAGCAGAGATCTATTAGCATATAAATACAAGAGCACATTATTACATTTGAGTATGAATACTTAAATGGTCAAAAACGATATTCATACTTCTGTCCTGGAATTTTACTGAAGGCAAATGTTGTTGAATGTGTAAATTCCCTCTAATATTCTTAAAAGTGTATTTGTTTGCAGAAGCTGTGTGCATGGAGCTGACTTAAGAGGGATTCAGAAATGCAAGCTCATCTTAAACGCACATTTTTAACTGAAATAGCAACAGTAACTAAGGGTGATAGTGTTAAGTTACATTTCTCTCGATCTGAAGGAACTACGAGTACTGCCAAAATATACAATGGCGCTCCAGGTCTGTTTACTTAGCAAAGTCCACAATAGCTAAGAGTTTGAGTCATCTTTGCAAGATGATGCAATCAGAAACATGCCTCGTAACAGTTTTGATACACTACAGATTTTTTTTTACTATTATTGATTTCATGTAAAAGTACAAGTTTAGCTCTTGTGAACGGCAAAAAGCAGGCCATTTATTGTTGCTCACAAACACGGGTCGGAGTGAAACATTGTGGAAAACAACATTTTGTTCATATTTTATTTAACACAATTTAGATGATCTCCTTTGTTGTTGTTGGGTATTTTTTTTTAGCATTTAATCATTTAACATCTGCAATTCTAACCCCCCAGTTTTTTTCCATTTTCATCATAGCACAGTCCCAAGCCTTTAAAACTCCATGACCTGTTGACAGTAAATACTCTTTACTTGTGAGGTAAAGCTACAAGGTCAAGTTCCTTGATGCCAAGCGTCTGACT